TTCGTGAAACTTCGTGAAATAAATGTTAATATCTTTATTGACAATTTACTAGTATTACCAAGAGACATTTAAGTTGTTGAATGCAGTGCTTATTATTGTATTATTTAACGTTTAGTTAATGCTTATTACTGCATCAACAAATGTTAGCAGTGTCGTTAAAAACTATTAAATAATGTATGAGGTAATACTTTAATTAACATGAAAAACATTAGTACATGATTAATAAATGCATTAGTTACCTATTAGTTAATGCTTATTACTGCATTAAGTACGGTTAATTAATGTACCCTTATTGTAAAGTGTTACCATTTTTTAAATCTATCCCTAATATCTCTGTTCACCCGAATGGTGCTGTATGACTGACCCCTAATCCACACTGAATGTGTTTTTGGATGCATTTTCTTTGTGCATCTCACGCCTGTTTCATGCTGCATATAGAATTCTACTTTACCAAACACGTCAGTGTTTACAAGGTGGGCATGAGATGCACATGTCCCCTGGAACCCTTGTGTTTTTATGCTTCAGGTCTATTTTTTTTCTTCTGCCACATTTAGTGACGTGTAATCTTCAGCTAATTAAAGTCACACAAACACTGATACTGTACTTTCTGTTTCTACTGGCATCTGTTATGACTGATACATAAAAATGTGGTTTCTGATGATCTTACATGAAAACTATTTTTGTCTCATACACTTGTGTTGTTGGTCAGCCTGCAATAGACTCTTTGCCCCACTGTGTCATGATTCGGTTACGCTGCTTCCTGTCTGGCTTTTATTTTGACGTTACTTCCTGTTTTTGTTTCACCTTAGTTTCGGTCTTTTTACGTTCTTAATCACTCACATTAGATTCACCTGCTCCTGATTAGTTTGCACCACGTTATAAGCAGCCTTCACCCATTAATCCCTGCCAGATTGTTTTAGACTCCAGCTCTGACTTTCCAGCACTATTTTCGGCTTTGGTATTTGTGTTTCTGACCCGGACTGTTTCCTTGGATAATTCTGTTCTGCCTTGCCCTCAAAACTCTGACTGCTTCTAGGTGTATCGGCTTAACAGTCTTATCTTTGGACAACGTGTTTTGGATCACCTCTGTTGTATGTGTTTGCTGGCTCTGACCTCGGACTGCTAATAAGGACGTGAGTTTTGTGTTTTTCACCGTGTCTTGTATGTTTTGTTTTGTTTTTGTTTTTTTTTTTGTTCTACGTTAGTTCTCGTAATAAAGAGACGGTTTTGTTTTACACTTCCTCGTCTGGCTATTTAATTGAGTTCACCTAACACTTTTCGGCCGTATCGCTCGCCGTTTCTGACACACTGCTGTGTTGCTGACAGACAGGTGTTCTAAAGACAGAATGCGCTGCTCACATCTCGCTTTCAGTGTAGATTAAATGGAATCACACTTTGTTAGTGTTTTCGTCTTGCTTTCAGAGTAAGGATTATTATTGTTATAGTTAATACAGACAGTCAATGGCCAATGACACATAACCACGAGCAGTGGCCACAAATTGACAATAAACAATTAAATCATGGTCTATTTCAGCAGGCAGTTCAATGTTGAACACATGAACACGGTCGATCCAGTAACACTGTAAGAAAGGTTTTGTACATTGACGAAAGATACCAGCCATGTTTGAGAAATGTGCAACCATAGTGATCTCTCTTCAGGTCCAGTAAGGATGGTTCAGTTCACTCCCAGAGGGCCCTTCACCAGCACAGCCCCACCTCTTCCGTCACTTCTGTAGGCTCCTTATCCCGCACCCAGTCCTCCACCCTCAGCAGCATGTTCAGTGCCTCCCACTCCTCCCATCCTTCCTTCCCTCGCCATCACCCCCAAAGCCAGGGAGAGCCCTTACAAAGCATGGGACCCCGCAGTCCACAGGGTCCTGGCTCCCACTGTGCAGGAGAGACCTTCACCCTAGGGCCCATTCATGGGAGGGGTCACATTTTCCCTCATGACCCTTATGGCTCCACCCCAAGGATACACCATCAACAGCAGCACCATCAGCAGTTACAAGGACCACAACCCCCACAGCCCCAGCTGCCAGTGCAAAGCGGGCATTTTCCCCACCCACAGTCCTACTCCAACCTGCAGGGGGAGCCCTTCGCTATGATGGCACGTGCCCACCAGATGGTGGATGTACTGACAGAGGAGAACAGAATGCTGAGGCAAGAGATGGAAGCGTGCCGTGAGAAGGTCACCAAGTTGCACAAGGTAATATCTTCTGCACAAGAGCTTTAAAGAACATGTTCAAATTTAAGTAAGTCTATCTTAAAACAACACTGTGCTAATATTAGGGGTGTAAAGATGCATGTACTCATGAAATGTAAGGCTATGAACAAATCTTTTAAACTATACAAAGACCAACATATCATCATATACAGGAATATTGATCAAATGTCACTGTAATCAACAATCACCATGCTACAAATAATAAAACTGATTGGCAAATACTTTCATCTAGAACCAAGCTAACAAAATTTATATCAAAAAAGTCACATGGGCACAAAAATTCAACACAGCCTTACACTCATGGTCACCATGTGCACATATTCTGTTGCTAATAAGTAGCCCACACAAACTGTGACCTCAATGAGCAATGGAGTGATACAATCAACCAAAATTTTATTCAGACATTCTTGTATATTTAATTTTGCTGACATTATAAACTTAATCACCTACAACAGTTTGTCTCGCAGCATGGAAGTGTTTGTCATCTTCCAGATTTCCTGGGGTCAGATGCATAAATCTGTAGAGCCAAGACTAAAACTGCATGCAATAATACAGAAGTGACCACACATTGCTTTCATCGAGTTTATAAAGCCGCATGTATGCCTGGTTCTGAATCATCATGGGATTGGGAGTTTTTTCCGCTTCCACCATTATCCATAAATAGACATGGACACACCTTTTAATCAGTCATTTTCATAGAACAACTCAGTCTTGAACCACTTGTTACAAAACATGACAATGAAAGCAACAGTAAAATTAAGTATGTGTGTGAGTGTTTATATATTGAAACAATGCGTTATAAAAAAATAGGAAATATTTTGTCAGATGGCTTTATGTGAAGACAGTTTGGTACATGTCAGAGTAATATAATGCCCGCTCTGTCAAATGAGGTGGGATTGCGTTTTGGTCAATAAGCCCCGCCCCTTCAGGTGTTCTATAACCCCCATCCACCTTCCTGGTTTTTCACACCTGTGCTTTGATTTGTGGTTTTGTGACCTCTAATTGCCGGGGATATCCTGACCATAAAACTTTATTACTGGATTTTCACTCCTCAGCTTCCTCCAGGCAATGATTTGTGATCTTATGACTTCCTTTACCTCTGGATTGTATCTAGGGCTGCAACAACTAATCGATAAATACAATAATAAAAATAGTTTGCACTGAATTTAATTATCAATTAGTTGGGTCTGTGCAAGATGGCCAAGCGCAGACATGGCTGCGTCAGGGATTGTGTGAGTGCCACTCTTCCACACTCTAATTCAGTAGGTGGTGGTGATGCACCTACAAATTGGTTTGTCAGCTGCTAGTCAAAAGAAGAAGACTGGGTGAGCACATCATTGAAGCATAGCAAAAACAAAAAAATGGTGGAGGTTACAGCAGAGAATAGTGGAACACCAAGTCATCTAATGTTTAGGAGTTAATGTATGAAATTATGAAAATAAAATTATGATAAAAATATGATGTACCTGACTTTAAGTAACGTGGTTATGTTACTACGTATATTATGATGCTAATTATTTATTTAGGAACATAATGGTGGGTTGAGTAGGCTATTAATAATAGGTGCTAAATGCAATTGCATTTGTGTAAATGTGAAGCATATTGAGTAGCCAAGTATATTAAATTTGTGTTTTTATGTTTGTAATGAATGGAACTCCATGTGCTTTCAATTTGCTGAAGATGATGGTCATCTGATGTCTTTCAGTGATTTCCTGTGAGCATGTGTTTGTGTGCCCACAAGCAAAAATATTTTCTGTTAGGTTTTATATACAGCTCATTCCTGTATACATTCCTATAAAATAAAGAACATAATGAGCCATAACTGATTACAGGTGCTTTTTGGGTAGCCTTGTTCTACATTATTTTGCCTTGACAAAAAAGATGCCAATGATTTTTATTGACTGCCCCCCTACTGTCGGACTTGCCTCCCAACCTTTTTTTTTTAAGTTCCTATTAGTAAAATATGTTTCTATCACATGGTCATAAGTTGTTCAAATTGTTGAAACAACCAAGTAGAGAAAATCAATAACATTAATAAACACACATTCATGTGAGCTTGCCTGACCTCCACCATATTGGCAAAATGCTACAGTACATTTCCTTGAGTCTTATGCATATTATTAATAAAGCTTATGTTAAAAAAAAAAAAACATCCATTGGTGCCATTGTAAAAGTGAAATTTTTTGACTGTGCCCGGTTTTGTGGATATATTTTCCCTCCTGCTGCTTCACTGTGACCAGAGGATGTGGAGAAAAATATAGGGCCGGAGGTTACTGCATGTCCGGGAATGTTCCTGTACAGGCACTCACTGTTTTACCTGACTGGGTCTAACCTACCACCAGCCAGCCCGTGAAGGCCCCCGGGGCAGTGAATGATCAGCTGATCAACACTGGATTTCCCCAGAGCATAGTAGCTGTTTGTTTTGACTGCTCGAGGCCAGTGTGTCTCCTGCATGTGATGTGTTGTTGGTTAATGAGAGGATTAATGATCCATGATGTTATTGTCAACACTACGCTTCCTATTGGAATTAATTTCACTACTTTGGGGCTGTTTACAGGATAAATCACACATAAACCAAGTCTCTAGAACTGCCTTCTTTCACCTGCGTGACATTGCAAAACTCAAGAACATCCTGTCTCAAAGCGATACTGAAAAACTGGTCCATGCATTTGTTACTTCCAGGCTGGACTACTGTAACTCTTTACTATCCGGATGTCCCAATAGTTCCCTAAAAAGCCTCCAGTTAATCCAAAATGCTGCAGCCAGAGTACTGACAGAAACTAGCAAGAGAGATCATATCTCTCCCATATTAGCTTCTCTCCACTGGCTCCCTGTAAAATTCAGAATAGAATTTAAAATCCTTCT